TATTACTAACATGTTTGGTGACACGAATTATCCATTTGTTCGCCAGGATGACAATGCTCCTTGTCACAGGCCCAGAGCAGTTGATGATTGGTTTGACCAACAGGGCATTCGCAGGGTGATGTGGCCTGCCCGGAGTCCGGAAGCAAGCATAATAGAAAATGTGTGGAATGATATGTCAAAACTTTGGACAAATGCCCGTCTAACCAGCAGAGAAACTCTGTTATATTCAGTGTTTCATGCTTGGGCCAGCATAAGCCCTGAACGCAACAGACAATTATATGAATCCTTGCCTCGTAGACTGGCACCTATTATTAGGTCACGTGGCTATGCCACTAAGTACTAATTTTGGACTTGAAACTGCATATTTTGGTAGAATGTATATTTTGTTCTCATTTTGTGATTTTTTTGTGAAATTTGATTTTAATAAAATGATACCAGGAGCATATCATTCCACAGTCATTTATCTCCCCTATAGTATTGGCTCAGTAGGGGTGACACTTCTTTTGTCCAGTGTGTGTATAATGCAGTGGGGTTATGTTTTACAGCCAAAAGAGTTCGCACCCAGTTTAATGATCGCGCTTCGAAAACTTTGACGTCAGATCTGATGCAATAATGTACTAATAATGCACTAACAGAAAAGTACATCTTAAAGGGCATCAATTGAAACGAAGGTATCCCATGTATGATGTCACACAACAATGCTAAGTAATTTACTGTTTCTTGAATAGAACAATATCATCGATGTGGACGTCGCATGTAATTTTAGATAAAGGATAATTTTAGAATTTAAATTAAAAAAATAATATACTTCATCTAAATATCATTGATGTGTCGCATATTATTATCATTCTGCTGCGTGATCTGCACAGAAAAAACATTAACATTTTAATATTGTGCTTTCAATTCAATCATGTATAAAATTATTTAAAGAGTCTTGACGTTTCATGTATACCTTAAGACCCCATTCCCATACATTTTAGGTCGATCTATCCCTGTGTGGAGTCTCACTAGATTACTGTCAGCTTAGCCGGCTTAAGCTACTGTCCCGCATACTAAAAGCTGTAAGGGGGTAATTAACTATGGTGCGCGCTCGGCTGACTGCAATTTAGCGTGAACCCCCAGGGAGTTAGGTCGATCTAAATCTAAATCTCTGGGAATGAACCCTTAAGTTTAAAATACCTCTTGGCGTCTTTAATAAAATGCCTGTATTCACTCTATATGTTCATTGTATAAGTCATACATATTTTGCGTGAATACTCACTAAAATGATCCTTAACTAGAGAAAAAGCGACGTCATGGATGTGTCACTTGTCAAAATGCCACCTTATACATTTTAACACGTGTGCAGTGATGTTCATGCTTTAATGCTTATTACTATCACAATCATTATTACTGGTAAAGGGTAAATTTATTTACGAAATTAAAGGAGGAGTCAGACATTCGATCAAGCTCGTTTAAGATGGCGCCCTGCGTTTTAGCTAGACAAGCATTTTGTTTTCAGAAACGATGCATTCTTTATCGCCCATGCACAGTCAAGAGACAACATAATGAACGTACACTATAATATAACCATTATTCATATAAAGTGTATCTCAACTACCACGTTTTGAACACGTCAGTACCAGTCTAGTGTAAAGTTAAAAAGACGAGCGTCAAGTTCATAATGTTGCCATATTTTTCTGATGTCACTTTGAGATATTTTAGTAAAATATTTCTTCCAGACTGCAGAGGAAGAGGCAGGGAGATCACCTTCAGGATACGTCAACTTGTCGTCCATTCCTATCAGCTTCAGCATCATGTTTAGATCTGTGCCTTGAGATTCCAGTCTGGCGATGACGTCATAATGAATCTGACATGGATCACATAATCTAATATAGCTTTCCCAGTGGTTGTTATAATCCTTGTTTGGATCAAGAGAGTTGAGATAATCAATGAAGGCCTGAAAAGAGACACCTTCTTTCCCAGTCAGCATGCCTGGCGTCGGGTTGGTTTCAAACCTCTTGGCAATGTATATGGCTTCACCTGTAATCGGGTGTCCTTTACCTTCTAGTTTACCTCTGTATGCCGATACCAGGCGCTCCAATGGATGGCGAACGACGATCACCTTCAAATAGGTCTCCAAACGTAATTTAGCTCCAAACGGAGAATACTGACTAAGTCGAGGGAGGAAGCGTTTGTAAGAAACCACTTTCTTACCCGATCCAAAATTGTGGAACGATTTCATATCCACGTTCCCTGTTAACGCGTAAAGTAGGCGTTTTCCATTGGTGCAGCCGACTTTAGGCATTGAGCACATGATAAGGCGGTGCCTATCATCCACATAAAGCATGGGTGGAAAGCCTGTCCTGGCACTGCTGCCATCTACAGAGTGGGTGGTCTCTCGGCAAACGGTTTCCATGTGTTTCACGCGACGTTCCATCTCTTCTCGCCAGATTTTAGGGACGTTCAACCAGGATGAATGCCGATCCTGGAAGTAGAATCAAATGTGATATAGGCATATATATATATATATAGAGAGAGAGAGAGAGAGAGAGAGAGAGATAGAGAGAGACTGTTTGCTCCTTTGTAATGTGCATATCCATTTAATTTTTGGAAAATTTATCAGAATTCCTTTAGATATATGTGATCATCCTGAGCCATTTTTTCAAATGATTTCATGCTCAGTCGACACATACTTTCCATGATTATTTTTGGCCAAAGTTCAACGTAAGGAAGCAAGTTGAGATATGTTTAAGGTAGATAGATACAATAGTATCTATTTTCTTATCCGTCTAGATAATGCAGAAATATGCATTACCATGATTTGAGATAATGATGTCATTTCAAAAAGAAAACACAAAGGAATTTTGCCAATTGTGGTTGATGACGTAACAACTTCACTTTGCTGTAAAAAAATTGTATTTGATTTTAAGCATACATCCCTCCCAAGCACAGCTATCCACACTTTTTTACGTAAATTAACCATAACCCTTATTACTACAATTTGGTGTCAGGGATTCTTGTCGAAAGGCTTGCTTCTGATTTTATCAATAATGAGCAGAAAAACTCAAAAACAAAGGATTGTAGTTAACACCTTTGTCGTGAACTATGCCATTTTTATTATAATATCTTATTTTAGTCTGGAGTTTCAGAAAAAGGACGCTCACTAGTTGATCCGAGGAATACTAAAATTCAACTCTTTGGAATATTAATAATAATAATAAAATTGTTTTATGCGGAAAATCTTCGAGTCTGCAAATCAACTTGCTCTGAGTGCGCCAATTTAAAAAGCAGTTTAAAAGTTGACAATTAGGGGATGGAGGTTAAAAGCAGTTTAGCGCATGAATGGTGCATAAAACAAAGAATAGGGGAGTTTTTTTTT